GTGGACAGGCTCCTTCCCAGCCACCAGCCATTGAAGGTGGCGGCTTAGCCGCCCCAATCTCTCAGCTTTATACTGAATATGATATATGTGGAATGGAATACTTCATTGCTCAGGTTTGGGTCACCTGTCCTATCTGTTCCTCCCCAGAAGTCTGATCTTTTTATTTCCTTGCAACCCTTTTACTTCTCAGCACTCCAACACGGTACACAAGATTTAGAAGTAACCTTGGTTGCTATTTGAACAAGTATAAGCAAGAGCCTTTCTGCACACTCATAGACAAGAAAAAGGGAAATATAACCTGCACTTTTAATAAGAGAAGAAAGGAAGACCCAGGCAACTACAGGTCAGTCAGTCTCATCTCTGTGCCCAGCAAGATCATGGTGAGGATTCTCCTGGAAACTATGCTAGGTCACATGGAGATGTGATCAAGTGCACTCTCAGCAAGTCTGCCGATGACACCAAGCTGTGTGGTGCAGCTGACACGCCAGAGGGAAGGGATGTTATCCAGAGGGATCTGGACAGGCCTCAGGTGACCCATGCAAACCTCAGGAATTTCAACAAGGCCAAGAGCAAGGTCCTGCATCTGGGTCAGGGCAACTCCAAACACAAATCCAGGCTGGGCAACAAGTGGACTGAGAGCAGTCATGCAGAGAAGGACTTGGGGGTGTTGATAGATGAAAAACTGAATATGAGCCAGCAATGCCTGCTCGCAGCCCTGGAAGCAAATTGCATCCTGTACTGCATCAAAAAGAGTGTGAGCATCAGGTCAAGAGAAGTGTTTCTCCCTCTCTACTCTGCTCTCACGAGACCTCACCTGCAGTACTGCATTCAACTCTGGGGATCCCAGAACGAGAAAGACATGGACCTGTTGAGAGCTGGTCCAGGAAGGTCACAAAGATGATCGGGGGGCCGGAGCATCTCCCCTGTGAGTACAGGCTGAGAAAGCTGGGGTTGTTCAGCCTTGGAGAAGAGGAGGCTCCAAGGGAGGCTTTATAGTGCCCTTCCAGTACTTAAAGGGGGCCTACAGGAAAGATGGGGAGGGACGATTTTAAATCATTACCCCCTCCCTAGAAGTGTTCAAAGCCAGGCTGGATGGGACTTTGAGCAACCTGAACCAGTGGGGGATGTCCCTGCCCATGGCTGGGGCTTGGAACTAGATGATCTTTAAGGTCTCTTCTAACCCAAGCCATTCTATGAATCCATATCAATCCTTGGTAGTAACTATAAGCATCACACATGATCACTCCTAGTAGCAGACACCGTCTGCAGAACTATGCTGCTAACTTCAGAAAGTGCAGTCTCTTGGAAGACACTGAGCTGAAAAGTAAAATCACTGAACAGAATTGGTTCCGTTTAGCTCAAACCAGGACAGATGCATTTAAAACATTTTTAAAAAAATAAAAGCTGCATTTGCCACACTGCATTTCAAATGATACTATGTATACTGTAAACACTGTGTAACTGTCTATGTTAAATAGCTCTGGCAGCCTTAGCACTTCTCTATTACAAGTACTGGCAGACATTCCTATCCCCCATGTTCTAAGCTTTTTCATTTACATAACTGCTTTCAACCTCTATCGGGTGGCAAACAGATGTTCAAATGAAACAGAACTGAAATTGTTTCATCTGCATTTCCCAATATTATGTGTTTTGAAAAATCTGTAGAAACAGAACTAAAGAATTCTCTGCAGTGTCTTCAAATACTACAGAGCTCAATTAATAATTGTATCCTACGTAATTCATAGGTACCACACTCCTCTTCCTTCATAGGACTTGAGTTTTACTACACAAACTCGTAACTTAACAAATAGCAGCAGTTATCAATAGCAGCAGTTATCAATAGCAGCTTCACTTGGGTGAACAGGGGAATTTATGGGGTAATGCTCAAAGCAAAACTTAAGTTCCCTAAGACTGTCCAGTACCTGGATACAAGCACAGGAACTTGGTTAACCCAGAAGGGGAAACTGTACTCACAAAGGCCTCATTAACAATCTGAACTAGTAACATATTCAAATACTAACAATAATGCTCAGTGAGTGACAAAATTGAAAAATTCCAAGGAAGAGAAGACAGACACGTAATTTTCCATTTGACCAGCATTTTCTAGCCAATCTCGTCTCTGCAACACTGAGCAAAAGCTGGGAAGCAAAGGTCAAACAATTCGACAGACATGGCACCTCCTTTCTGGGCCCTCTTCCTTTCTGCAGATGCTACAGAACAGCTTTTCAGACACCGTCCCTTAGCAGCTATTGTTCAGCAGAAAACTAGCGTAATTAAATTTAAGAACTTTTAAGTATCATGGGAAGTTCAGATAGTTCTTCAAATAGAATAGGTCCTCCCCTTGCCCTTTACTAAGTGTTATTTAACTTGGTAGAGCCCTCTTGATCTCTTCAAAATACCATAATGTATGGGGTTTTTGGTACAATTTTTAAAGCATTGTGATTTAAGTTCAGCTCACGCCAGGTAACAGAGTAACACTCAGAAAAACTGAAGAGACATCTATTAAAATAGAAGTGTTAAAGCACATTAAGCACCTGGCATAAATGTTCCTGGAAGACAGGACGCTGCAAATTAAGACTTTTTATCTCTAGTGGAGCTTATATTCATGACTGCCGTGAGGACTTGTGCAGCATCAAGCCTTACCAGCATTGCAGGTAACCATAACCAGGCATGTTTGCACTGCATTGGGAGAATGGGTCAGAGAATCCAGAGCAATTGCTGACCAAGCCTGCTCCAGAACCAGATTCAGCTTAGCTATATCTGCATGAGCATGACATACAAACTAATAAGCTTTGCCCAACTCAGTAAGACTTACTTGCCTGGATGCAGCACTGTCCTAAACAGTGCCACGACTTCTGGGCTTAAACCTCACACCTCTATACACTGACACGCTGTGCCACATCAGTGACAACTTAAATGAACATCAGCTCGGGTTCACACCCCACATCATACTTTTACAAAAACACAAAGGCTTTCCCTCCCTTAGTAACAAGTATTCACATCCTCCTCACAGCACAGGACAGGTAACTGAAGCATAGAAGATCTCCTTCAATATCTGCACAGAAACTTTAAGGCAATGAGACATCTTCCACCCTTTCCTGTGGATAACAGTGAAAATATATCTGGCATGTCTGGGGTGCCCACTCGATAAAGATCAAACAAACTGAAAATACCAAAAAAAGACTATCTGTGTTTCCCATGATTAAAAATGGCTGGTTGCTTGCACTACATCTTTTTCAACTGCTGGAACAATCTTGAGATGTTACTAAGTTAACCAGCAGTTTCATCCCTTTACTCCCTTTCTCTAATAGATTGTTAGTGTTTCTGAAACAGGTCACATAAAACTGAGGAGAAGCTGCAGTGTCCAGACAACAGAAGCACCATGTCTTTACCTACCCACTGAATTAAAACAGGAATTCAAGTAGGATGGGAATGGGAATATAGCAGGATTTCTTTATTTCATAGAAGACAGATCTGTTTGTAATCCCATTGCTTTTCCTTGGCTATGACTAAACAAAAATCCTACCAGCTGTTTCAAAGTACAACCCCCATAGAAGCAGTATTCTAGTAAATATTTAGAACAACATGCGCATGGTAGGACTTGGGGCTATTTTGACCATAAGGTGCTTTTAACTATACTGACAATGACCAGCACTGAATGAACTCCTCAGAGTTTTACTTTTACAATAGCTCTTCTACAAAGTTTTCCGAGTTTTGATAAACTCACAATTCTTCCTATAAAAACAAAGAATGACAAAAGAGCAAGAAGATAACGTAACTCGGAACTAGAGACAGTCAAGCACCTTGTGCTCTGCATCATGCAATCATATATGGTAACACTGACTTTTCCTACTTCCCAACTATAAAGGAAGAAATATAAATGTAATTCATAATTTGTTTTCCTAACTAGTAGTTGCTTTTGACTTGCTTCACACTCATGACCACCTACAAAGACATTCCTTACATACCTTTTTCCTTTCTTGAAGTGGCAGCTGTATTTAGGATAATCGTAGAGTTCAGTCATTCGTTCTTTGAACAGTCCTCTGACAGGACACTGCTCGAGAAAGGGTACTGTAAGCTTGTTCTGAGCCTCCACAAATGCCTGAAAGAAAACAAGCCCCCCAAGAGACATGAACTCAAGCAGAAATGTGTATTTTCTACAGGAAACACTATTTTCTGAAACAATGCATCACAGACATCTTTCCTTCATACAGGTTGTTTAGTGTCATACCAGAAGAATTTTACAAATATGCATTATGCCAGTATACTGCAATATTAAAGATGATCTTATATCTTGCATAATATCTATCTAGGACACACACAGAGGTAACCAGTTGTGTGGCCAAAGATAAGCTCAATTACTGCACAAAACAAACCTCATGCTTTTAAAAACTCTCCTATTTGCCCAAATGACACAGAAAAGCTAACTTATAGTACATACCTAGCAAAAACTATCTTCCCTTACTTCACCACATACGCTGTACTCCAGTACTCTATGATCAATAAATTTGGGAATAGATAAAGAACAGAGTCCCTTTTGCCCACAGATAGCACTATCATTTCAGAAGGTGTGAAGAGCTGGAAGCTGACAAAAAAGTTTTTATGTTAATAGGATGAAGAGATGGTGCATACAGGATTAGCCCCAGTCAGTATTTTCTGGAAAGGCCAAAGTACTGTCTATGGCTCAGTTCTAAATTACAAAAGGCAAGAACACCTAATGGTCGAGAACTCTGACAGGTCTGGTTTCTTTAAAACACTCCACGTCCCAGTTACACACCCTTACAGTGACCAAGCCCATTACTGCTCCAGCGGTTTGTCAGAGGTCGCCACTCCCGTGGCACACATGGCAAAAATGATGTTCTGTTGGTGTTCCACCATCTCTACTTACAGAATAGTACATTTAACATCAAATTAATACCTAAGTATCTTAAAGTGAACCACAGCTGCTAATAATCAGACATGCAGGCTTTTCTGTTTCTAACATGAAGCAGGAAGGACAGGAGAGTGTGCATGGCTGTAATTCAGAGTCAGATGTCACAACAACAGCTCAGCATCACTCTCGGAACCCAGCCTCTCACCTCCAGCCCCAAACCCCGTCCACTCATCTGTTTACACAGGTCTCTTTCCCAATTGCTTTGAAAGAGGTTATTGTTTCTACTTGTCCTGAATCTGTTGAGAATAAAGTAAATTAATCCTTGATAACATCTGAGCTACACTCCACTGCAGGGCATGACCCACAGGAACAACAAGGCTACAAACCATATTCTCCACAACTGGTGTGTCACAGCTCTTTGGAAGAGCCAGCTGCTGTACAGAGTACCTGCTACACATTTACCCACTGTTAGCAACGTTCACTCATTTAATAATTCCTCAAGTGAAATAGAGGGAAGAATAGAACATAAAACTCTTCCAGTAGCATTTTACAGACATTTCACATGGTAAGAAGCGAGTACATGGGACAAGTAGAGAGACACTGTCTCATTCACCTCGCTACCACAGCAGAGCATAGCCAATAGCTGCATTACACGCCAAGCTGTGTTTTCAGAGACTTGTCAGGCCAAAAGGTAAAGGAGAAAGCACATTAATTAAGGTCAGTCTCCACTCCAGAGGTATTTGTTCTAACAACGCATACAGAAACTGATAAGCTTTAAACATGCATGGGCAGAATTAGTAATGCCCTGACAGCACTTGACTAAGTGCTGAAACGTATTAGTTTAAGAACACATGGGCTGGTCACACACAAGTCACTCAGGGATGACACAAGAAAGGAAGCACCACAGTATTGAAAAGGAACAGATAAAGAAGGCTAAGAATGGTGACTTCTGGACCTTTACTCAGAATTAGGCTCTTATGTATCAGTCAGGAAACAATCACCTGAGAAAAAGGAAAGAGGCGAATGCATCACGAAGGGAAAGTAAATTTTTGCTTCTGTTCTCTCTTTGAGGATCATACTGCTTAGACAGCTTTAGCACCCAGCATAGCAGCACAGCACATCCCAGTGGTAAGTCAATACAGCACGCAGTCTCCACACTCTGCTGCTATAACCATCCTACACTTGTCAGATCACGAAAGAATTTAATCAAACCTACCCAGAAAATTATGCATATCTGAATGTTTTCTCTAAATGGAAACACATGCATTTAAAAGATCACATGCTCAAAAATCTAGACAGTGCATCCTACAAACTAACTACTCAAAGTGCTGTGACATTTTCAGAGAAAAGATGTCTTATAAAAACATATATAAAACCATCCACTGTACTGGATAGGTAAAAGCATTTTTCAGTTGCATTTAGTGGACAGAAACTGGCACACATCTTTGTTTTATTTATCAATAACATGACCAAAATGGTAATATTGCTCCAAGAATATACTGGAACTATGTGTTACTCACTTAACTGCAAAGTCACATCTTATTCCATCCGCTTTCATTACTGGCGGTCAAAAAGAAGACAAAAACTTTTCTTTACAAGCATTCGTTGCACAAAAGCAGGCTTACATACTACTGCAGTCACATCTGAATGACCAGTAATTTTGCTTTTACAGGAACTTGATGTATTTTTCCCATTTCTACTTAGTATGCGCTGAAGATTCCAAGACTATTTGTAAAAGAGAATGGTGCTGCTGCCTGAAAAAGGAGGTAACAATCACAGGTTTTTGTAACAGTTTCACTAAGAATCCAGTCAAATTTGGAAACTCTGTTCTTACGCTTCTGAGCACAAAGTTGCACTCATGTTCCATAAGCATACATAATTGAAACTTTACTCTGAATAAAGTACAGGAACAGATGTCAGCAGAAACTCTAACAGTAAACTCCATCCACCACATCGAGGTGAACAGATGCCACCCAGACTATAGGGCTAACAGTAACTCTGTATATCTTCATGAGCCTACAGAGAAAGATTCTCATTTTGCATGTAGAAATTTGCACCTGACATTCTATCATAAGCCTTGAACCAGGAGAAAATTTGCTAGCAGAAAAAAAGTACAGAGTAAGAGCCCAAGCAAGGCATATGCTTATCGGTATCTCAGAAAATAAGGTAATTCAAAAAGTAAAATCATTTCTGAAGCGCTACACTAAGAGTAGAGATGTTTTACTGGAGGCTGAAGTGTTTGGGCAACACTTGAGCAGGCCAACTGTTACTTGAAAAGAAAGTGCAACTAAATTTAATCTCAAAAACACACACTACAAAAATTTTTAACCATGCTTTGCTACAACCTACCAGCTTTCTATATGTCACTAAGTTATTCTCTCAGGATAATGATTTCCATTCACAGTATATTTTCTGAGGAGAAGCCTTAGGATAGAAATTGGTTGAACATTACCAGTTTTTGTTATTAAACTGTGAAGTATTCACAGTTTAGTAGTTACCACCAAAATCTTCATACACACCTTCTCAGCAAAAGGTAGTTCACTGCAGCCCCTACAAGAGGGCACATACCTTTTTTAAGCACTACAAAATAAGACTTCTGGTGGCTTGCCTCTTAGCATTTATTTTAGTATTTAGCAAAGAAAAATTCAAGGTGCAGTTGGAAATTTACCAAAACATGAATGAAACACTGGTCCATTATAACTACAAATCCACATAATTGTAGTTCTGAGAGTTCCAACTCTAGTATTAATCCAAACATACACCACAACTCGACTGTGCATACTATGTGATCACTGCTCTTTGATCCCAGACATCCCTCATGTCTGAAACAAGCTATGCATTACTGCCTACTCGGTCAGTGAGGTGAGGTACAGTATCTGACTGACATACCTACAGTAGCAGAAGACTTCGCTGTAGTCTAACAAAAAGGGTTATTTTTTCCCTCAAAGTGTAAAAACAAACCAAGAAGTTGAAAAGTCCAACCAAGCCAAGCCCAAGACAAAAGTAAAAGTGCGGTTTTACAGTTGTGGTTTATGTCATGACCAGAGGTGTTTTACCAGTGTAGCACAAGATTTCAACTGTGCTGGGGATGCTCCCTTCATCCGTTTCAAAGGTGAACAGTCACACAGTAGCAGAGCATGAACCCACATCCTACACCTCCTCTCTCCAAAGCGAGATGGGAACCTCACCATCTGACCAGAGGCTCAGGTTTTATTTACTGATCTGGAGAAGGGAGTTTTGTTTGCTTATAGCTGTGCACAACTACTCCAATCAAGTCCACACAAGTGGAAAAAAATGATGGAGTAAAGCACATGAACATGGAAGCACTTCTTAAACAACGTATTTTACACAAGAGACTGAGGATGTGGCTTGATGATTGGCTTAAACAGCTCCAAGGCCATACCTCTGACAGGAAACAGTTCTGCTTAGCCACCTCCAGATTTATACATACGTATATACACTGCATGTGGAAAAATATGTATATGGAAAAAGATCATCTTGGTGACCTGGCTGAAAAATTTTTAGACCTATTTGACCTTCACCTAATTAAAAGTAGGCTGTGGGCTGCTAGAAAAAGGAAAGATCCCTTCCTTGAACCACCTTAGATCCACCTACCACGTGGCCTTGGGGTGACCTAGATTTAGCATGTGTGCCAATACAAAACTAATCCATCAAAGGCTTCCCTCCCAGAATACCACCCTGTGATGGCGATACCCATGCAAGGGAGGGACAGAAGCATTCAGGTCAGTGCAAGAAGGGGAGGGAGGGAGGAACCACACACTCACTTGACCTAATGGAAACCTGCAAACTAGAGTGGATCAGGCACTCTACGCTCACTGCAAAAACATCTAACTAAGACAATTAGGGAAAAAAAAAAATAAAAATCTCACCCTTCTGTGTTCACTTACAGGTAAGCTGCTAACAGAGCCCACAAGATCATTTGGACTAGTCACAGGAAAAATTAGCATAACTCTTAATACTCATAGCTGTCGTGGGTAATTTCTTTTAGACCTAGTCCTGTTAACCACACAGTGTACAACAGGTGAAATTACCATGAAAATTCCAGAATTAAAACCAATCTCACTTGCCTGTGCTGCTTTCTCTGTGCTTCAAGAAACAGCAAAGTTGATGTTTCACTGACTCATATCAACACAGTGAGGCCTATCTGTTCTCTGTGGCCATATCAATGCTTGACATGACTGTTTCTGCTAAGTCTAGGAATGCCAGCATATTTGCCTATCTATTTGACAGCACACACCTAGTAATTTTCACTGTTTGTGTGATAAAAGATTCCTAACAATAAATTAATGATGTTCAGTCTTCACTCACAACGAGAATCTCACTGTTACACATACCCAAATCGAGTAAGTATGTTGTAAACAGTAATTGAAAAGCGGCTTCTTTACAAACAAGCATGGATGCCCAGGCAATTCCTCTTCTAGTTCTGTACTTAATATGTAGAAAAATAAAGGCAGCCTATTGTTGGAGGTGTACACAGGATGTTTTTATTCTTCCCCAAAACAAATGGAGGTTTGGGATATTAAGGAATACATAAAGAGAGTGAGAATCTTGGAGGAAGAGTGATAAGGACACGGGTCTCAAGGTCAGTGACCTGAAGGCTTGAAAATTCTACAAAGCACACTCCAAATTTTCTCTGAAGCCTGCATAGTCATTCAGTTGCCTCTACAGCTGTGTCTAGTTATTCTTTGATTTGGTGGATGCAGAACAGTTTGCAAGACCTCTGCAGAATAACCATCTCTAGAACCTGGAGACAAAACTATTATGAAAAGTCATCAGGAAAGA